CTAGGGTAATGGTGGTAAGGACAGAAACATGTATGGATTTGAGATTGAAAACAAAACGAACAGACTTAATGATTGTTTAGATACAGAAGGAGAGAGCACAGAAGGCGTCAAGGATGCGGCCAAGCTTTCTGGCTTGCAAACGATTCATCCAGATAGGAACTCTAGAGATTTACCTGGGCTAAAAATGTTAATATGTCACATATCTGCATACAGGTCACAATGTGGAAGCATGGGCCTGGAGGACAAGGAGACAAAGTTAAGGTTTGAAACCTGCTATGTCTCTTTTCCATTCACAGAGCCCTTCTCCAATGCATGACCCTATTTTCTGGTTGGACTGGAGCTGTTTGGTGGTCAAAAAAGGTCCTCCTGACCTCCTGGAGCTGTGGGACCAGGAGGGTCAGACGACTTCCAACCTGCAACTATCCCTTACAACCAGCTCCCAAGGGCTTTACATGTACTGTTCACAGAAACAGCCTCCCGTGGGAGCCCACGACCTCAGGAGAGATTACAATCTACACTGAGGAAACAGGCGGAGAGCTTCAACGACCTGTCCACAGAGCCGCTAGGTCAACTCCTGTCCTCCGTGTCATCCACTGGGTCACAGGGAGTAAACGAAGAGCTATGACAGAGCCGCCATATAATGCTGTGCTACAGGTACTAGGTGCCGGGCTCTACACCTTTATTTTGTTTTTAAGAAAGAACGAAGGGACCAGCAGTTAGCGTAACGACTATGTTGCGGGACTCCCATGTAGTCGACCGTGGTTCGAGTCCGGGACCCCGTGGCTTAAACTCACGCCGGGCGCGTGTGCGTGCGTGACCAAGATCCCCAGAGGAGAATGGAGGAGAAGGGATTGCGGCGTGGCCATCCCCCCTGGGGGATGATTTCTCACTTTCTGTCTGTCTCTCTCTCTCTGTCTGTCTGGTGAGCGCACACGCCCTATAGCAAAAACCTCTTTAAAAAAAAAAAAGAGAGAGAATGAATGAATGAAGCAAAAACCTGCAATTTCGGAATGTCAGCCATGTGTTCCTGTCCCCACACACTTACCCTACAGAGAATGTGCCTTACACTTTCACAAAGGTTCGCGTCCCGAGATGAGGTGGAGGCGAGATGGAGGTGAACCCGGGCAGCCGGGGATCACCCGAACACGGGACCCGGGGGAGGGGTCGGGGTCCCAGAGGCTCGACCCCAGGAGACTTTAGGAGGGACAGCGGGCCGTGGCCCGGTCCCTCCGCAGCGGGCCGCCGGGCGACCGGCAGCGGGAGGCCGAGCGAGGCCCG